CTCTGGACCTCTGGACCTCTGGACTTGCCTGTTCCTGTTCTGATCTGTTTGCCTGACCTGTCTTTGTGACTCCTCCTGGATCTCCACCTGTCTGTGAGCCGAACCTAGAACTGTATCCTGACTCGGTTCTGGATTTCCCTTCAGCATCTCTTTGGCCCCCTCTTCTCCTGGCTCTGACTACAGAGTCCGGACTTGGCTCGACCGTCTGCATTATCCTGCCTTCCTTCGGCTGCTCGGTTCTGATCTCCTGCCTGTCCACCGACCTTTGAGCTATCAACCTCTGGGGGACATCCGCCACATCCTGCTGGCAGCAGATTGGAACCAACTTCTTCCTTTGGGCTCGGACTGAACTGTAAGACCAGGTTAGTGACTCACAGGTTCATTATCATCGTCCACCAGATAGACGTGTTCCCTGTTGTCTCCTCCTGCAGAGGTTCCTCCTCAAATACTGGCTCCTGTTTTTCTGAGCTGCACATAATAGGGTATCTGTTTGGGGAAAACCTGAGGAATCTGGTCAAATCTATTAGTCCTCCAAAACCCTGATACCTCAGGATGCAGACCAGATAGCTGAAGACAGGGTGCAGACCGTCTGATGCGCCCTGATCAGAATAGTAGTAGCCTTCAACCAGGGGGCCCAAATCAGATGATCCAGATTTCCGTCTGGATCATTGGGGGGGTGGCCTAGTGGTTAGGGCTTGGAATCCAGAGGTTCTGAGTTTAGGCCCCTGGGTCCCTGAGCAAGACCCTTAACCCCACACTGCTCCCTGGGTGCCGCTGCTCCATAGAGTCATCAAAGCAGCAACCATTTAATAATGCTTCAACAGATGACACAGAATACTATCCTCCATCTTTTCTAAGATTAAACCAGCATCCGACTGATCACTGAATAAACAACTGACTGCAGCTAATTCTAAGAGTTGGACCTTTACCTGAGAGACCGTTATCAGCAATGTCTAGAGGTTGAGATACAGACTACCTGAAAATCACTGAAGGGACGAGGATGAACCCTTCAAAAGACTCACATCCTCTCCGTGACACACGGGTCCAGCAGACCAGCTCCTCCCACCCAGACGCACCACAGAGCGCCACAGGAAATGATTCCTCCCAGTCATCAACCTCTAAAACGCCCCCCTCAAGGGATTCAGACCCCCCCCCCCCCGTAACTGACATTCATGCACTATTTTTGCACGCCACGTATGACTGTACTTGGATTCATCACTTTATTTGGATTTAGTGTTTACATATATATAACTATATATGTACATATATATAACTATATATG